GGAGGGGTTGCAAGTGCTTTGTGTGATAGCATTAAGATTCAAAATGATCAGGGCAAACTGGAAAGATGGTCTGAAGTAAACAGGATGAAATTCAATAAGTACAAATGCAAAATACTTCACTTAGGGAGAAATAATCAGTTGCACACATACAAAATGGGACATAACTACCTAAACAAGGAATTGTAAAGAAAGGATTCTAGGGGTCATAGCGGACCACAAGCTAAATATGAATCAACCATGTAACATTGTTGTAAAGAAAGTAAACATAATTCTGGGATGCATTAATAGAAGTGTTAGCAATACACGAGAAGTAATTCTTCCGCTCTACTCTGCACGGGTTAGGCCTCAGCTGGAGTATTGTGTCCAGGGCTGATCACCATATTTCAGGGAAGATGTGAACAAATTGGGAAAAAAAAGTTCAGAGGATAGAAAATAAAACCTCTAGAAAACCTGACATGAGAAAATACTGATAGAATTACGTGTGTTTAGATGGGAAAAGAGAAGAGAGAGAAGGGACATGATAACAGCTTTCACATTCCAAAAAGGTTGTTACAAGGAGGAGGGAGAATAATTATTCTCCTTAACCTCTGATGATAGAAGCAGTGGGTTTAAATTGCATCAAGGGAAATTTAGGTTGGATATTAGGAAAATACTGGAATGAATTCCCTGGAGAGGTTGTGGAATTTCCATCATTGGAGTTTTTTTAAACAGAGGTAAGACCAGGGCTACTCAACTTTGGAAGCCCCGGGGGCCACAATGATACTCACAGCACATGTTGTGGGCCACAACTCAAGTGTGGTTGCATAGACATGCAAAGATATATGCAAATATATGCAAATAGCTTCTTTCACACTGACGGGCATGAATACAAAGATTAAGGCAAGACTACACAACACTCAGGCCCCATTTAAGTCAGTTCTGCTGATATTAATAAAGTGCAATATTTACCCAATTTCCACCCATATGACAGCACTTTTAATGAACAATGGCAGTCCGAGAATTTAACTACTAAAACATGTATCATCGTTGTTTAGGCTCCCACCCGCAGGCCTCAAACAAATGGGCCACGGGCTGCATGTTGAGTAGCACCTAGATGGTGCTTGGTCCTGACATGAGTTCAGGGCACTGAACTTGATATCCTCTTGAGATTCATTCCAGGTCTATGATTTTATGATTCCATAATAGGAATGATCTGTGGTCCAGAGTAATCTTGTAAAGTGCAGTGACTCAGACTGGGTAACTCAAGTTGCCCTTTCTATCTCTGCTATCTGTTTACCACATTCTACCATCAATCTGTGTGAAGGATTTTCATTGATGCCAATAAGTATTCTACACATATCTTATGAGGAGAAATATGATCTGGTGATTCTAATATGTAGCCATTTTATGCAAATTATATCTTAAGTGTGTCACTGTCTTACATCTTGATCTTACATTCATGCTCTTGTTTTACTTGTAACATTAGATCTGATATCTTCTTTTTAGTACCAAAAGGTACAATTCCTTATATATACATATTGGAATAATTCTTAACAGACTTTACATTATATACTGTAGTTTATTGATCGCTCAGGAATCATGTTTAAAAGATTTTGGTTTTTCTTTACTTTGCTACATTATAAAAAAGGATCTAACATATGTTAAATCCCTTCTCTATTAACAAATTTGTATTGGATACTGAGTTTTCTTCTTACACATGATTTACAATAGCATCAATATAAACAACTCAACAGCAGTTTATAATGAAAACAAAACCAGTAATTTAGCAAATGAGTCTGCATTGTTTTTTTAATGCCCTTTGGTTAGATACTTATTCATTTCATGCTTTAACAGGTTGAAGTTTGCTTCTTTGTTGTAGAGGTCTGAAGTTTTCTTTAAGTGTCTAGCCAGTTATTTGAATTGCAGTTGGAGTAGAAGCTTTCTAAACATGCTTAATGCAATCTGACCTATTAAAGAAGCAAAGAATTAGTCTAACATCTGGTTTAAAACAACATGTGAAAAAAGCAAAGCCAGCACCTTGATCCCGCACCTACACTTGGGAATACAAAACTACTTTAGGTAGTTTTTTCAGACTGGTATTTCCTTGTTTTACTGGCTGCATTCTTTTGCAGTTCAGATTTCCCCATCCTGTGAATGTATGTGAATAAAGAGTGGGAAATTCAGGTCAAACCAATGCACTTGTGAATTGGACCTTTTATATACCTGAATTCTCTTTTATGAGAATAGTGCTGTGTTAATGGTTCAATAATTAAAGGAGTTTGCATTTTAAAGACTTCAGCTTTTAATTGGGTGAATAGTAATCACAGATTACTTCAATTCTGTTGTGATATGCAAAAACACTGATGTCAGCTACATTTGTGTTCAGGTATCCTCTCTGCTTAATGAAAAATAACATTCTACAATTGTTTCAATTAGATACAAGTCAGCCTTCAGAGCATAGTGTTTATTTCATTTCTGTAAATGAAGAAATTCTGTTGCTCACTTAAAACCTTCCAATGTTCCTGGTTAGATTTCTCACTCACACCTGGGATATGTGCAATGTTTACATATGCAGTTTTCTCTCCCACTGAATCATGTTCACATTTGCAGCAAAAGGAAAACAGTTCAACTCCGTTGATAGGATCACCTTTGGTTAAGTGATTCCTCTGCCTAGGAACGCGGTGTCACATTGTTTGTGGTATTCATTACCACTTCCACTGCTCGCATGAAATGTAAAGTAAATGGGAGTTCTTCATTAGCGGAATCTGATTTGCACAAGTGCATACCATCGGAGGGAGGGGTTATTTTATCCTCCTGCCACTGGTACCCAGGCAGAGAAAGAATTTCACCGAAGTACAAAGAATGAGCCTCCCCAAATAGCTGTTGTTGTCTCTGGAAAGGGGTAGGCTGGCGTTTCCTTAAAGCAAGGCTGTTTCATAACTGTCTTCCCCATTAACTGTATCAAATGTTACCATTGCTGCCCACTCGCTTTCAGCCTTTAGCTTGTTTAAAGGCAGAGCTTGGAGGGAGGGGGGTTGAATTGTCAGAGAGGATGCAAGGGGGCGGCTTTGTGTGTGTGTGTTTTCTCTCCTTTGCAAAATGTGACGCTCGGTGAGGGGTGCCCCCTTTGTGGCTAGCTAGAGATGTCGAATGGCCGCAGAGGACACCCGAAGCCCCAGCAATACCTGGGCAGGTGGCTTCACTTGTAGCTACCGCCCTCCCCCAGCCCCTAGGACTTTGCAGCGCGGGCAGGTAGGAAGGAAGCCGGCATGACTCTGCCTGCCACACTCCTCGTTGCCTCGAAACTCGGCTCCGGAGCGGCACAGTTAAGGAATCTCTGCCTTTGTTGTGGTACCCCGAGCGCCGCTTGCTCCATCCTCTTGCTCGGCCAGGCGGGCATCGCTTAAGGGCAGGTGCGAGCTCAAGACTGGGACGGAGGGGGAGGGTACTGGTGTGTGTATGTGTGTGTGTGTGTGTGTGTGTGTGTGTGTGTGTTGAGTCGTTCGCTTTCCGTATCACTTTGGTCTCTTTGATCCGTCTCACTATCCTTCCTCTGCCTCTTCCCTCTCTCTGAGCAGCGCCCAAGTGTGTGTGCGTGTGTGTGTGCGTGTGTGTGTGTGTGTGCGGCACGGCTGGGTGCCTTTCTGCATGTAAGGGATGGGAGAGTGTGTATGTGTGATGGAGGGAAATCTCTATATGTGTGCAGAGGGAAATCTCAATGTCTAGGTGAAGGGGAAATCTCTGTACATACAGGATAATCGGTGTGTGTGTGTTTGTGCAGGGCTAGTCTGTGGCACTGAGTATTTCTGTTGCTCTGTGTCTGGAAGGGTAATATACACGCTGTGTTTGTGTGTGTGTGTGGGGGGGGGTAACCTCACTGTGTGTGTCTCTTTCTGTGTAGCTAGTGTGTGTGTGTGTGTGTAGGGCTAGTCTGTGGCACTGAGTATATTTCCGTCGCTCTGTGTCTGAAGGGGTAATAACCGCTGTGTGTGGGGGGGGGGGGGCGG